TTTTTTGCTACAGATATAATGATTACAGCATTGAGAAATATTGCGGTTTCAAATAATTTGCCATTGCAATTATTAATTTCAATTCAGTCGTAGACTTAAAAAATGAGACTAGAAAAAGCGTGCAGAGATTTTTTAGAGAAGTTCAGTTAAAAATCCCGTTAAAATTCAAGCGGTTCTGACAGTTTTGTTTGATAAAGATGTTCTCAAGTCCTTCTCAAGTCCTGATTTTTGATAATGCAATTGCGATCACCGTTGACGGCACGCGTTGAAATGTCGCGTTTCATCAAGCGATAACAGGCGGTCTGATAATTACCGAGTCGACGCGTTTAGACAGCAGGATCAAGGAAGGAAGAAGCTGAGCGAAGCAACAGCAGAGCAGCCGCGAGGCCGACGAGAGAGAAGGACCGATCGTAAAGCAGCTTCCGCGTTGGTGCCGCGAAGGATTTCTGCGAGCGAACTTGAATTAATGACGCGGCCGTGTATTATTGTCCCTCTTGGTTCCTCCGCCGTGCCGGGCATTACGGCAACGGTTACGCGGTGACAGTGCGAAAACGCACGCACGGTCAATGAATCGGACGGACAAGACGGACGTGGATGACGCGCGCGAAAGAAGACGCGCGAGAGCGCTGAACGCCTCTCTCCATTAAATTATAGCGCGGTCCACACGCGCACGGCAACCGTCGAACCGTTAAATCGATGAATCTCGCGGTGGAATTCGCGCCGAGGCTCGCGAGCGCGCGAGGCACTCGAGTCGTCGACGCGAGTCGGCCTCGTGCTTTTTCCGTCCCGGCTTTTCCCTCTTGTCCGCCGTGGCGAATCATTCCGAGGGAGAATGGGTCCTTCAAGGGCTGCACGCTTCGGGTGCAAGAACTAGGAATCGCTGGAATCCGGAACTTCATTCGCGCGTCGTGATCTTTTTTTTTTTTCCTCTCGATTGTTCGAAGCTTCCCTCTGCGAAGTTATTTCACGTAAACCTCTTGAGATGGAATTTCGAGATAAAGTACAACATGAAGGATAACGTAACTTCTTCTGTAAAAAAATTTATTTGAAAAAAATATCCGTACACTCTCATATTGTTTTAATTCTTCAATTATTAGCTTTTCGCTAAATATCATTTGGAAGCAGAAGAAGTGTTTTCACCGTTTCATCTTGTGTTTCTCTAAATAATAGAATTAGAAATAGAAATTGTAAATCTAAATATATCTCTATGATTAATGAAGTGAAAGCAAAGGCACTAATACTGCAACATGCAATTCTAGAGACTAATAAGCCGATAAGCAAATAGTTTCATTAAGACGCGAGAGACAATCGGTATGTAGGTATTCCAGATGATCTCTGTTTCTTGGTCCATTTCGCTCGATGACGGTCGACGAACGCTCGCGGCGCTTTACACCCTGCTGCGACGTCCGAATTTCCCATCCGTCAAGTCTTGAAGCGCGTTTCCGAGCGCAACGCCTTTACGAGCGATGCGCGCCGAGTGGAACGAAAAATTAAGCGCGCTCCTTTTTCCTTCGTGCATTGCGGCGTTATTACGCTGTTATGTGGATTTTGTCGTTCCTGCGCGGCTTTCACGACGAATCGCGTTCGCGCTTGAAACGAATTAAGTCGTCTTTCATTATGTCGCGTGCGCTGCAAATTGCAGTGTCCGAATTGAACGATGCGTAAAATTTACTTGGAGCTTCTCTATCCGCTCGATGTTCGAGAAGTAAAGAAACGAGCGTTTCCTACAAATATATCTCAGAATAACATTTACGTGAATTTTAAAGAGTGACATATTCTTGGCGTTTTACATTAAAAATGCAATTAATAATAGTAACATAATATGCATCGATAATAAATAGGTATGGTATTTTTTTTAGTAGAAGGATCATTATGTAAATTAATATTTTTGTATTTGATGTTTGAAGCAAATGTTGATTTTATCAAAATGGAAGTTTTTTTTTTGTCATTATCTCTTTTATGATACATGCGAAGACGTCCTTCAATAATCGCCTCGCAATTTTTCACAAGTGTTAAAAGTTTATTTTTGATTTTGATTGCTGAAAGAATTAGAGGAGACACCGATTTATTCACATATGAATACACGTGGCGTTTATGTGCGACAATAATAGAGCTAATGCACTAGCTCAATAGCGTAAACCGTCATTATCGCGATTACTACTATTATTGCAATTATAACGATTGCCCGTGGCAAAGCGACAATTGTGATGGCTCGGAGCTCTCGATTCGACGCTCGATGAGCTTTGTACGAATGCCCGAAGATTATACCTGTGGCACTCGCATGTGATTTATTTCGCGATGCGGTAGCTCAACATTTTCGATGTCATTATTCATATTTATCTTGATTCATCGTACATTTTTATGTTCAATGTGATTTATTTCAGATTTTTATTTATATGAAACGGCAATTATTTAGAATTAGATAGTCAGGTCCAATCATTTTGATGTTGATATATCAAAGTAGACATATCCTGAGTAACACGAGAAAAAAATTTTAGTCGTCGCTCAATAAAAAGTTATTAACAAGTGAATTTAGCAATAAATTATAATATAACTAAATAATAATATTATTATTCTCCGTAATTCTGTTTTGAACATTGTTGTAATGTAAATGTATTTATGTTTTAGGTAAACCTTCGCGCGTGCTACGTAGATAATATTCGTTCCATCGTAAAATTGTTTCGTCGTATAATAATATCATAGAATGTGTCGGGAGTGCGTTAATATCGGGAGTGTCGTGATATTTTCGCGCGAGTATTCGGGTACGCACGCGAGCAAGGCGTGCGCCGCGAACGCGTGTGAGTGTGTGTTAGTGTGAGTGCCTTGAAGGACCACTGAGAGGAGGACGAGGCCCAGGGAGCATCGGGCGTCGGCAGAACAACGATACGGTAAGTTTAATAATTTTTAGAATAACAAAATTATAAATAATTGTCTATGAAACGTGGTTCTTGTTTGTTCAAAACATTATTAGTAGAATTAAGGAAATATAAGAAATGATTTAATTTTAATTTTATTAAAAATTATTTTTACTCTAATATTTTACTATCCATATTTTTTAGCAAATATTTAAATAAATATTTATGAATTCAATATTTACTTACAATATATTCTGTAAGATTGATAAAATCAAAAAGATTTGCATTGATAAAACATAAACGTCGCGTTTTATATACAGTGTTCTAAATAAAATGTGGCACATAAAGGGCGTTGCATGTAACCGCAATTTTGGTACCCTGTTATCGGCGCTCCGAGCCGTCTCGCGCCAGTTACGTCGGTCCAGAAATCTGGTCTGACGTGCGTGCATGTCTCGTATATTCGCCAGGACTTCCGTTTCTCCGATATTGTGTGTGCACGAAAAAGCCGCATCGTAAGTATCGGTAATTCTCCGTACTCGTCGTACTCCCGTAAATTGTCTGTCGTGACGGAGGCGACATGCCATCAATCCGCGAGTACCCGCGTTATAAACACACCGTGCTTGGGCCCAAAATTATTTCCTTCCGTCCTGTACATACGAAACATCAACCAATTCTAGAAGAAAAATGTTTATTATATATATATTTAATAATTTATTAAATTACTAGTTGCGCGAAAATTATTACAGAATTAAAAAATAATGATACATAAAATGACAAAATTTATTAAAATATTTACATTATAGACTGCTCGTTTACTTCGCGTACAAATAGGTCTCTGATCTAACTTTGACGATAACACCGATTATGTCTCGAGGTCGGTCGGCGAAAAGATTCAGGTTCAACGGCGGCTTTATGCGCGTCACATTCACACAGTTAAATGGAGACAAGTGTCTCTCTCTTTCTTGCTTTATCTCTTTCTGCGCGGCCCTGACCGTTCCTACTGGCGGTATATCGAGGTCTGGAAGTTATGCGTCCGTACTTTATAGCAGGCACGTAAAGCATACGTACCCCCGCGTGCAGGCGGAAAAGATAGGGAGAGTGAGTGCGTTGCCTGGTATCAATTTGTCTGGCGTGGTAGCAGGTTCGGTCGGCTGGTCCCGAAGGTCGCTTTGTGCGAGCCGCTATCCGGCATTCTATCAAACCAAACAACATCCACCGTGCGCGATCGATTTATTCTCTCAGCGGCCGCGTAAGATACCAATTATCGTCGCGGCGGCGTAGAGAACTGCGAATGGAAATCGAAAGTTAAACGACACTCCTCGTCGCGTTGCGACTAATGACGCTCGACGACGCGCCGATCGCAAGATTCTATCGTAATATATCGTGATGCGCGACAGTTCTATTAAAGTCTTCTTCAACGTCGAGAGCGAGGTATTTATGGGACGGTGAAGCACGGAAATCGCGCACGTCCGATCACCGTCGTTGACTAAATCTGCGTTAAACGCTTTCGTGGCCTCGACACGGATATTTGCAAAATGCTTAGGCAAGTTTTCGCCCGCAGTCGCGTTAGCAGCATTTACGGGCAGTTATATCCTAGACTTCCTAGAAAAAGGCGATGGCCTCGAGGAACAGTTTAGTGTCCGACTCTGCCTCTTTCGCGGTGCCTAATATCGAGACGGAATATGCATCTCCCTGTGCATCCTGCCGGGATGTCTGGTCGGGTTTGGTCGCGTCTTCGTCGATCGGCTCCACGTCTCGCGAGTAGATAGAAATTATGGCAGGGGCCAGAATCTCGGGCCGATTTTGATAATTTCCGAGACTCGATATTATACTTACGAGTGTTGCCCACGATGATCCAGTCGAAAACGCAGCGCGGCATCTGCATAATTTTCTCTCGTGCCGCCGAACGACGGGAGATACTTCGTCTCTCGTGACAAGATATTGCGCAGAATACGTCGTGATTTCAGCTATTTAGCACTCGCAATATTTTAGAAAGATAAATTTCAATAAATTTTTTTCGAATTTTTTACATTTAAATAATTAGTAGATTGCACAATTGCTTCATTAAATAAAAATAGATAAGGATATGTTTAATACTGGAGGATGAGAATGGAACAAAGACATAAATTTTCCAAAGATTCGTTTTTCTTTATTAACATTGCACATTCTTAAATACATTTGGTCTTGGTCGAGGAACATTATTGGTGGGAATTTATTTCATTAATCTTATAGGGACCGCTTAGAGCTAAATCTTATCGCCTATCTCGTATCTAAGTACAAAAAAAAAACAATCTATTTACAAAGGTACTTGGCGGCAGTGCTAACAATGCAAAATACAGTCTTCGAAAAAGTTCCCCCTTTCGTGCGCGAGATTGCCGCGAAGAGGAAAATTATCTTTCTTCGTGCCTAGGGGAGGCACAAAGGAGATCATTGTACAACAGGTAGATCGCGATCGCAGTTTATCTTTTTTACACAGTTTATCGCCCAGTTTATCGTTCCAAGTATAATCAATCACTTGTAGCTCAAACCGAACGTAAAAGAAATCACGCTGCTCGCTCATAATTCGCAAAGTTTCTCCTCAAGGTAAAATTTTTACCAACTTTTCAAATTATATCGATTCGACTTAATAGCGAAGATACGCGTTGGGTAGGAAGATACGGCGAGAATAATTTTGTTGAATAGACGCCGATTCCGTGTAGGAACTTCACTCTAACTATTTATGATTGCGATATAATTATCATAATTATCAGTCGCGCGCTTCGTTCCTCCTCGAGACGCGAGTCGTGTTTAAATCACCGAAAGAAATTCCTAAAAAAAAAAAACGCCAATGCTGTTTGCCACAGCTCGCAATAACCAAATAGATTAGTCTAATAAGAGCCGGTTCGTTCTGTCGCAACTTCAATTTCCCGCTTCCAGTCCCTCGGCTGCGGGACTTCGTCCTTGGCCTTGGAGCCGCGTCAAGCCGCGACGGAAGACAAATCGTGCTGATAGAGGGACGAGGCGCGAGGCTGATGCGCGACCGGCGTAGATGAAGACGTTGGCGCGTCGACTGATTAGCGTTTGCGTGTATTGTTGTATCGCGCGCGGAGGGGGATGCAGGAGGAGGGGGGGAGACCGAGGCCCACACATGTGGATCTGTTTCGCCATTAGCGTATCCAGTCCTCGCGCTTTGATATTACTTAAGATATTTCCTTCCTTCGCGTCGATAACTCTCTTCTCTTTCTCCCCGCCTTCACCTGCCTTTATCTGTCGTCTATCGTTTCATCCGACGCAGCCCTACTGCTGCGAATGAGCCGGTGAATAATTAGCCCACCATCCCCCCCTCTCGCTTTTTCCTCGGCGTTGCTCGATCGACACGTGAATCGAATAAATCTCTATCGTCTTAATTGAGGAAGCCGGCGCGGAAAATACATTCGTGGACAAAAACCCCGTTGTTTATAACGAAATTAATTGGCGTTAGTTCGTTGTTTTGCCACTAATTATACGTGATTTATCTGCGACGGTAGCGGCGTCAATTGAATGATAATGTCCCGAGAGGCAGTTCCCTTTCGTCGCGCGAAGACGCGAAATCGTGGGCAATTTAATCCCGCGATTTGATTACCGAGCAGGTGGATGAGCGCGACTTATCGTCTCCTTTTATAATACTGCCATTACAACACGCGTACGAAGATGTAATGGAACACGGAATGCGGCAACTATAAAGTATTATATTACAGCAGCGCTGCGTAAGATTTTTCTCGAGTCGCAATAGTAATGCGCGTTGTTTTGCAAAAAGTATAATAATTGCAATATGCACAAACTTCCTTCGCGGCAAAAATCTCTGCCAATATTTACTGTACTTTTTGTATATATATATATATATGTATAGAAATGATTTAGAATTCTATAGCTTTGTAGAAAATTTTAATGCGAAAGGTCGCAACGTAAAGGCGGATAATGTGGAACACCTTGCATATTGATAATTACAATACTATCTCTCCTCGCGATTCTTCATCTCCTCGCTTTCAATTCTCATTTGTGCGGCCACATGAGAATGGAGTATTATGATGATTATACGCCGCTTATCATCGCGAATAATCATCGCGCTTTATTTCGAGGCGCGCGTAACTAATCTGCGACTCTAAACGGCGCTGCCGTAATGACCGCAGTTATAGAAGAGAGAATGAGCGTCTATCTCGCGCGCCCCCGTCTCTTTCTCTCCGTTCCGATCGATATAAATTACCGCTGCTCCGTGCAAAGATCAGATCCTCATCTTCAACAGATGGAGAGGATTAGCGATATTAGCGGGAGAAATCGGCTTCGCAGTGGCGCTATCATCAGCTCCCGGCTTACTTCTCCGTGTTTTCGTTCTTTCTCGCAGAATCTCCCTGCAGAAAGGAGAGGAAGAGCTTTCTCACATCGCGAATGGAAGAAAGACTGTTTCTCCGCTTTTCTCTCTTCGTCCTCCTCGTCCCGCACCTCTCTCCCTCTCTCTCTTTTTCTCTCGTCTGTCTCTTTCGCGCCTCTCTCCGTCGCTCTCGCGCCTTCTCACGTCTGGCCGGCACCATCTATCATTCTGTCAGCTAGGAGATTTCAATTTGCTCTCTTTTTGCGCCATTACCGGGCCCCGCGGCCCGCGCAAAATTGTATTTAATTGTGATTGACTGCTAAGTGGAGGTGGCCGGCCGCCGCCATTTGTCCCGCGATTTTTGCATATCCCTAATTGCGCGAGAGGTGCGTCGCGAGCTGAATCGCGGCCGAATGAGATTATTCCAGTCACGCGTCGTCTCGCATTCGCGGCGAAAAGTACGTCGCGACGGCCGATCGAAGCGAGGAGCCGATTGTGTCCGCGGGTATATCTGGCCTTTCGAATTAGATCTCATCCCGACGGTAATAACCAGCTCTGCGTATCGAGATATATCAAGAAATATGAGGAACTGCTTGTTATCGTAATTGTTGTTAGTTGTTATCGGTAGACACGGTGGTGATAATAATGATTTGCGGTTCGCCGATAATTGTAATTACTATTAACCAGATGACCAGGATATAAACAGCGTCGACATCATAGATATTGATAAATTGGCTTTATCGTTTCGCACTTCTCTAATTAGCACGTAAGCGTGAGATCTCTGCGTTTAAAAGTTGAGCCGCAATCGCTCTCGAGATGCGTAACTACGTACAATTACCTTTATAATTGCCATTGAGCAGTAGCTACAGGTGAATAAATTCAGGTAACACGAGGCGGACAATAAGCGTTTTTTGTTTCCGGAACCCGTGGAAAATCATATGGAGTTCACCCGAAAAGAGAAAAATATGAAATATTCCAATTGTTTAGTTTTTAATTTAATTATTTGACACTTTAGTCCTTTTTTTCTATCTTTACTGAACTTTATTCTAGGAACCATTTTTTTTAAATCGTGCTTTTCTCCGTCTTGAACTTGAAACTGCATGTTTCTCTATTATTCATATGTTCTTTTAGCGCGAACTCCTCAATTGATACCTATCGCCGAGGCATCAATGAACGATCACGCACGTGCGCGCGGATACGCGAGAGCGACGATGCCCTGCCCCCGCAGCGCACGCGTGCACATATGTACAGAATCACCTATACAGCCTCGCAATAAGTTAGACGCGCCTGGAATCAGATATTTACACGGTGCGCGAACGCGACAATGTATACGACGGTGCCTATTTACAATTAAACTCGAGGCGAGTACGCCCCCGCCGTTTCTAGCTCGGCAAAGGCGATAGCGGCGAGGGCCCCGGCTCTCGATGCCACAGTCAACGATCACATTTTATGCGCCCCGATCTACCCACTTGCCCGTAGTGGTATCCCCGCGCCGGGTTAGCCGGACATTCTCTCACTTGTCTCCCCGACGATTGTATTTAAAAAACGTGGAATCACGCCTTTATCGCGAACGATATTTTATGAATAATTCAAAATGCCGTTAACACAAAATACTTTAACCGCGCTCGCAGTGTCGCGCGATATCGGTCACGATCTTCGAGGCCGCTCCTCCGGGGAAAGGATCCTGGACCGGTCCGGTCGCGCCTTTTTCCGCTCTCCGCTCTGATCCTATCGCGACCGATTGGAAAAAACGTCGCGGAATCCCGCAGCGATGCGCCGCGATGCCGGGATAAGTATCGGCGATGAATTACCGCGGCGCTAAACTTACGCGCTCGATTAAGCTTGACGCGCGCAATTAAAAGCGGGCTCTTTACCCGTCGACCTCGTAATCGGCTAGTTTTGACGTAAGCTATCGCCGCCGGTGAATCGGTGACGTCGAAAGATAATTTATTGTATATTATTCATCTCGAAGATTAAATGTGATATAGAAGTAATTTTTGAAAGTCGGTGGAATAATTTAATCTGTCAAGTATTTACGTAGAATTTGGATGAAAGTTACATGATAAAAGTAAATTTAATTTTTGAAAATATATGCATCTAGAAAAATAAATAATTATTTCTACAAAAAAAAAAAAAATGACAAAATAAATTATCTTTCCGTCAAAGGATGTCATGACATACATATTCATTTCGAACGTGATCGACATTGAAAATCTTAAATTAATACATTATATATCAATAACGATAATATAAAGGATGCCGACTTTTTTTTTTGACAGATCAATCAAGTTTGTAATGAGAGATCCAGAAGATCTCCGATAACGACGCCGGCATTATACTTTTCCGCTTACGTACCACTCACGGCCGATGCTGCCTAGGTCGAGTGACTCGTTTACAAGTTAATGAAGTCTCGATTCCCCGTTCGCTCGTTAATTCATGCTCCCCGCGAGCGAGCTGTCTCGTTCTCGGTATCCCGACAATTCGTCATTACCTGCGGACGTTGTGGTCTGTCGAAGATAGGACGCGCCTCGTCGGAGAATTGAGCAGCGGCGATTTGTGCCCGAAATGGTAGAAGCTCGAACGTGGATACAGGAACATTCTTCAGAATCCCCGGAAGACGACTTTGACCTCTGTTTCGGTTAAGCTCGCAGCGTCGAGACTCGGAAGTTCTCGTCTTCTCCGCGCTTGAGAAACTTGTAAGCCCCGTGTTTCCGCGATCCCCGGGTGACACTCGGTCTCCTTTCCAGGAGAGAATCTGCGTTCATTCGCGCTGCAGCAACTCGTAGAGCGCGGCGATATACGTCTGCGCCATTTGCAGCGTCTCGAACTTGCTGAGCTTCCTGTCGTTGCCAAGACTGGGCACGACGTCGCGCAGTCTGTCGAAGGCGTCGTTCAGACTGTTCATTCGCCTCCTCTCCCTGGCGTTTGCCGCCAGCCTCCTCTTCCTCAGCACCTCGATGCCCGGTGCGCTGTTTTTATTTTCTGCATCGTCGCCTCTTTAGATTTTTGCCCCGCGTATTCCGGCAGCACGTGAAGGCCGTCGTTCCTCTGATGGTACCTCGACTGGTCGCATTTGCTCGGCTGACTGTTCGGTAAGCCGGCCTCATTTCTCGGCACGTTGTAAGCGGCGCCTAAGTAAAGGACATCGGTCCTCTGGGCGTAGGGATGACTCTCGTTCCGCGGATGATAGGCACCGCTCTTGGCGTAGTTTTTCGCGGCGTAGATAGCCTCCTGAGCCTGACCGAAGTCGCTCCTGGAGTTCGTGAACACTCCGGCGGGATGATGCTCCATCTTCTGCATGTATCCCGCCGGATCTTGCTTGCTCACGGCACCCTCGTTGAAGGCCATTCTAGACGCGGCCTCGTCGTAACCCGCGCACTGCTCGTTCATGCGAAAGATTATCTTAGGATGATGATCCTTGACGTTTCTGACGCCGTTCATCGCCGGTTGATGCTCGTTCCGACAGCCACCGTCCTGATAGTAACCCTCGTAGAAATCGCCGCCGAAATTGAAGCCGGCGGTCACGTGGAGGCTGCCATTGGGCGCGCCGCCGATCTCTTGATACTCCTGCTGATGGTGGCTGTCCACGGAGCTGACGCTGCCGCAGCTGCTGCCGCGGGATCGCGGCGGCTGCGGATAGATCTCCTGATGATGCCAATTGCCGCGCGGATTCGATTCCGGACTGCTGGCCGATCCGTAGCCCTCGGAGTCCAGGAGATCGTACTGCTGGAAGGTCGCGTAGGATGTCATCCTCTCGGGTGCGCGTGTCGAATTATTGATTCCACTGATTACCGGCGATCTTATATCATAACGTGCCTCGGAAAAATATCGCGACAGCTCTCAGCCGATTGTCATCGCCTTTATTGCGAAATTCTGCGACTGACCGGTCGAGCGATACCGAGTGCGAACGATGTACCGGGGACGATTTTCTAAATCAAGTCTAAGATGTGCGATGTCTCGAGAACGTCAGTGGACACACGTCCGTCCGCTCGTCTGTCAGACTTCCTTCTGAGACTCTCCGCTCCGCTGCGTATGCTTCGTGTACGGAAGCGTTGCGTAAACTGGCTTTACCTGCCGATCTCGTGGTCTGGACCATGCCGCCCGGTTTTCTTGGGGCCCGCTCGTGGTGGGGAGGGTAGAGAAGCGACCGAGACTTCCAGGACGGACGAGTCCCGGGGACTCACGTGGAAGGGGATCCCCGAGGAGTGGAAGGGGTCCACTGGGAAGTGGGTATCTCTTTGTAGAAGCCGCGCGACCGGACACGCCCCTCGTCTTCCTTCGTCTCTTCTCTTCGCTGGGGGCTCCTCTCCGGGGGCCTTCTCCACGTCCGCAGTCAAAAGGCGATCAAAGGGCGAAAAAAGGAAAGCGCGGCCGGTCGAGTGGCACGCACGGTCACGGGACCGGGCGCCGCGTTCTTGACATTGGAAATATACGCTGCCGCCGGCCGTCGAGCTACGATCTCACGTCTCTCCCCCGCGCCCTTTTCTCGCGCTAATTGGATTTTGTTTCTCCTCTTTCTCGCGCGACACTTCCACGGATCAGTGACATTCCAATTTTTTTCACGGAAAATTTATAACATAAATTATACTAATTTATATATTTTATTATTTTAGCCAGTTTACGCAATCGAATAAGTTTTATTAATCTTTTGAGTTCCGAATTTACATTGCTCCGTTGAAATATTATTTTTGTATAATGTACATTATTTATTATATTACTATATAACAAAACAATTAAAAGAAATAAATTAACTCAAAATTTTATTTTGTTTAATCTATATACATAATACGTTGAGGCTCAAAGGATCAATTTTTCTTCTGGTCGGTTCATTATTTTTATTAAAATAATTACTTTTGTAATTATCATTATTTCTTAATGGCGTGAGAGCCGTTAAAGAAGAATATCAAATTTTCTTGCACAATATTAAAACGATTATCACGCGTGACATTTTTAGCTATCAATATATCATATACACAATGCACACAGGTGTTATATTAATGGATACGTGGCGCGCATATGGAATACAATAAGTTTCGCAAGACAGAAGCGAAAATAATTTCCTTGCGAAACTTTCCAGGTCGCTGATGTCAAATATGAACTAGGGAAAGCGTTTGGCATAAAACCTATTAACACTCTCATGTGGAAATGATTTATAAACGGTATTAGTAAAACTTTCGTGATATAGGTCTTTTATTGAATTACGCAGATGCGCATAAAAATAGACCCGTCTAACTGACACTAATTGGTAGCGCAACCATTCCGTTAAAACCGAAGTATTGCGATTCGAAGAAAGGAGAGCGCGCGCAAATTAACGAGCATCGATTGGAATTATTAATAATGTCAAAATGCTAAACCATCGGGGAAGAGTGTAAAATATTTCGGTCTTAGAATATTTCCGTGCAGTAACGCGGCGTGTTATTAGAGGCGCGTGTTGGAAAAATATTTTCTTGGATTTTTAATTTAACTCCTGTTTTTTTCCTCGTTTACCTGAAGTCAACAGTTTTCACTTTTTCTGCGAGACCCCGTGCCGTGCTTTATGAGATTGTAAATACGAGGGTCGGAAAGGATAGACAAATCTGACGTTTTACGAGATTCTAGGTCTAAATGCTTTACGAATCTTTTCAAACGGAAAAAGTGCGAAAATAAAATGGCTTTGATATATTTGCAGAGCTGGAATTAATTACAATTTTTTAAATTGATTTTTGAGGCAGATGTCCATTGCTTTTTACGAAAATATTTTGAACATTATTCGATGCTTTTAGCTAAATGATAAGAGAAGTATATATTTGTTCTCTTATCGTAGCGTTTATCGTATTTAACAAAATGCACGATAATATTTATGATGAAACTGTTATTATGCCGTACAGCGAGGCGTTTACGCGCTCGATAAATAGTATCAAGTAAATACATAACGAGTGACGTCTTTGACGAACGACTGCACTGACTCCCGGAATTATTGATTATCAGGTTACGTTATGGTTTAACGCGTTTAGGACGTTGATTAAACGCACCGTGTTAAAATCGGGTATCGCGTGCGTCGTAAAAACATCTTTATTGACGAATCTTATTCGGAACATCTATTTTTACGATGCCGATAAATTATCGCGAGGGGCTCGTGTTTGATATTTCCTTTAGAATCGCGCGATATCAATCTTGTCATAATGCAATAAGGAATCACATGACTTGCACGTGCTAATGAGAACACGTTACCGATTATCGAAGTTTATATTTAAACATTGTTACAAAAAATTCACGAGAATACATAATTTGCATAATACGAATGACTAGCTCGAGTTTTCTCTTGTTACTTTTCTCTTTATCGTGACGTTTTAGGATAGAACGTACGCGACTTTAACCCGTCTGTTTTCGAAAAGAAAGCAAGTTCTGTCCCATGAAATTCAGGCGCTCCCGTAGGCGTACCATCATTTGTTTTCCTTCGTTTGTCGGGAATTCGGAGTTTCATTCTCGCAAAAGGCGGCAGCTTCAAGAAGTTCATTATACTCCACTAATACGCACCAAATGAGCCGATCGCGTCCGTCCGTCCCACTGAGAAAAAGGAACGGTCATGTCGATGAATTCGAAGAGTTTACGCCCACTGGCGGATTTTAATTTATCGAAAACGCTCTTTGCGGCTTGCGCAACAAACTCCATCTTCGGAAAAATTCTAGATTAGCTTCCAAACTTGATTTTTAATTTTTTTAAATTATGAATTTTACGATTAATTAATCTACAATTTTTAAATTGAATACCGATTAATTTTTCCAACAAGCTGAGAGAAAAAAATTCCAAAAAAAAATCATCGAACGTAGCTCAAATAAAAATAATTGATGTTTCGCCACCAAGGTAAATATAATGCTATGTGCAATCATTATTATGATGGATTGTTAGATATTTCAATTCGCACTTTCTGAATGAGAGTAGACACAAATTGAAACAGCGTAGATTGAGATCGGAAATAAATCACGAAATCGATATATTACCATTACCGTGGCAATACGTTAAAGTAATAATAAAGTTGGCCGCGCAAAGTCGCGGCTACTTACATTCCCTATTCACGCGGCGATGAACTCTCCGCCATAAAGCGCGGTCCTCGCAATCAAGTTGCCATTACGTAATTATATAACAAAGACTAATGAGTCCCGATAATTTCGCATCCGACAAACCCGCGCGTGATTGCGCGGGATCATCAATCGATCGGTCCATCGACACCTCATCGCGTTGTCCATCAATGCGGCATTACGCCTCGCGCGAAGAAGGCGACAAATGCATGCGTCACCCGATGATGTACCCATATGTATACGTGCAAGGCTCGTGATCTAGAGACTTATTTATAGATCTCTGCACCTCAGATTTGATCGATTCAGGGTCGGATCAACTGATAAAGACACGAGAAGAAATCGTATTTAAATAATTTTTTAAATAATTTAATAACTGTCCGCGTATTTTATATTCGACACAAGTAAAATATATGTCAAAATATATAAAATTCTTTTCTTTTCATTTATTTTCACGAAATCAATACAATTGCTAGTTTTTTTTTGTCGCAAATCGTAAGATCTCTCTTATCCGATCCTGGATCGATTCACCGCTAACGCGGTGGCGGCGGCGGCGGCGGCTAATAACAAATTTATTGCGGCCGATGAAGTGCATAAATTGATTATTACTAGCCGGCAACGCATCTCGCCGCCGCGAGTTCCAGTTCAGACAATCACCGATGATTTACAACATAATGGCGCGCGTTTGACTGACGCGGACTTACTCGCGCGACTATTCGCGCGTACACGCCGCTTGATGCGTTGCGGCGACGCTTACATGCGTACGGTTGCCCGCTGCCGGCCGCAGGTACAACGGCGATTCCGATTTTCCCCGGGTCTCGACACGGGGCTGCGCGATGTTGTCGTTTGCGCAAGAACACGCGCGCACGCCGACGGCGACGTATAATTCGATCAGCCGCGATCTTCACGATGCGCCGTAAAAGCGAGTATCTGCACATGCATCGGGAAAGGAAAGTTGCAAGTCGTGCGTTAAATCGTCACATTGTTCATTATACAGCGTAGTGGACCATCGCTCTTATATCTTATCGGTTTTTCTGATTATGTTGAAGTTGGCATTTTTCTACCGCGTCTCTTCTTGCCTTTGTCACATCTTCTTGCCTTCTTCTAATTTTTACTCCATGAAATTATTTTTAATCGATTTTATTGCTCGTAATAATCGTTTCTTAGCATACCTCGAGCAGTGTTCATTGTCTAGCCGGTCGATGACGGTCGGTTGAGGGTGATTTGATTTTCTAAACGATCCGAGAGCTCGATTCCTCGGCGTTCATCCAAATATGACCCTCGTACGAGCTGGAGATTTATGGCTTGCCGAGGCCCTTAATTAGAATCACACCCAAGGTGTCCTAATTACAGTCTGGCGCTTGCCCGGCTTTTAAAAACTGCGCCCTCGGCGCGAAACGGCGCAAATCGCGCCAATTTCTGGTTGCTTACCGACAGCTCGTTAATTGTAGGAAAAACGACCGGCGGTGGGCGGGTGATCGTTTTCGAATTTACATCTGATTAACTGCTAGGGTTTTTCCGAAGGATACCTGCTAGAGTTCTCTCTCGCCTCCTATTATCTTTTCTATTAGAAAAAAATGTTTTACACACGTTCACGCGTCAAAAAAACTCTAATTTCTTACAAAATTTATTTATCTCCGTTGTGTATTATCGCAGCCATCGATTTATGATATATTTTCGATTCCTCCGCAAATGTCAAATATATTTTTCTATTTATTTATCCATCCATCTATCAGGAAAGCCATTTCTCTTTTAATTGCACCGGCTGCATGTCGAGAAATTTGCGCATCCTAAATCTTCTCGGCCATTTTTCCAACTACGTACGTTTTAGGCTGATAAACGTCCTGTAAAATAATGATGATTTACGTCGGCGTATCGACGCCACTTCCTGTCGCCTGTCCGTCCGTAATATACGATCGATTAAGCTCGCGGAATTTTTTTTTTCGATCGCGCCGCTTTG